AGCCTTGCTACTTTGCAGCACCCTCTGCAATGGGAGAACTAACAAGCAAGCAATGTGATTGCATCTCTCTCTCTCTGCTCTTGACTGCGGATGTGATGTCTCAAGCTTGCTGCTGTGACTTCCACGTGATGATGGACTGTCACCTGGAATTGTGAGCTAAAAGTCCTCCTCCCATCGGTTGCTTTTAATGAGGGTATTTAATGACTGCAAGAGAAATGCAACAAGAACACCAGCTATTTGTCACCTGGCCAGTTACAAATCTCTTACAGTATCACTTAGCTTTGGCATAAGAAATTATCCGTTTCTTCTGCCTCTAAAATACAATAAAATTCTGTTATTATGAGTCTGACTATAAAAAGGAATTTTATATTTCTTGACTTGGAACTTGAGACCTTATTTCATGTTCTACAAACAATCATTAAGGATTTGTTCTTTCCTTCACTCCATCATCTTGTATCCATATTGGCCAAATTTTGAGTTGTTTTTCAAAGACATACTCACTACCTTGCTCAGGCCACATAGTAAGCGGGGCTTATTTTAAGACAATGATAAAATAATTGAGCACATTACAACCTTTCAGCCTTTATTGGATGCTTTTGTGTAACCTCAATATATTTATATGAATATTAAAATCTTTTATTCCATGAAAAGTTTATATCGAGAAAAGGCAATCTGATTTCATTGAATTAAATATAATTTATGACATTTTAAAAGCTGACTGCAGGGACCTAACTAGAAGTTGTAGCATATAGGAAACAAGTATGTACAGCATCAAACCACATAGCTTTTAATATGAAGGGTTAAAAAAATAAATAAAAGCTTAGTGATGGAAAGGAAATTGAATTTTCATGATCCAGAGATGAAAAGAATTGTAAGCTATTATTTTCCCTGGAAAGAAAAGAAGCTTTGAAATGTAAAAAGGTTTCTGTGGCAAAAACACTTTCTTGGTGACAGAAAATTCAATCATGCATACAAGTGAATTACGATGTTGCTCCAGACCATCCCAGGATTAAAAACAGAAACAAGAAATAAAATCCAGATTACCTGGAAAGAACAAATTGTCAGTGGTTTGGGGTTCAGCAGGGTTTCCTTGGGGTTAAATATTATGATATCATATACATGTATGATGATCTTATAAGTTTTCTATATATAGGGATTGCATCATTATGGTGTCATCAATTGATAAATCTAATTTATATTCATTCAGCATCTAAACAGTTTATAAAATTGGTTCTTTAGATATTGCAGGTCAGTAAGCACACAATCCCATTGCTTCCCATGCTAAGGCTGAGGACATCAGTAGAGTCCTTGGGACACACGTGTTGGAAGGAAAGATTGACTCCGACCTTCACATGCACATATGCTCATGAACATATGTGTATAACTAAACAAATATAACAATCATTGAAAGATGAATCCTATGTGGTGAATTTACATCAAACATTAAATATAAAGAAAAATGTAAGAGCAATGAATGTCATGGAGCTTATAAAATACAGAGCAAATGAATGGTGTTTTATAATTTCATGGCTATAAAGTTAATATCCATGGTATACAATTGGAGCAATGGTCAGACTTCCTCAGAAAGCATCCACAATAGAGAGCCACCTCCCAAAGAAGGCTAATATCTCATACCTTGAAACCGAACATAATATATATGACATGGAAAAGTGGAGTTAGATTAGCAGATTCAATTAAAGTTGCAAGTCAGTTGAATTAAAAGTGATGCAATTATCCTGGATTATTAGATTGACCCAGTATGATCTGTTGCTGTGCAGGAGTCAGGGAGAAGAGTCAAAGCAACTGAGTGAGGCACTGAACAGCCTTCTGTTATCTAGAGAAGTGGAGAGGCTCACAAGACTTGATGAACTGGAACCAAGACAGAATTGTGTTTCCCTTCTTCTTCAGAGCCCCTAAAAGCAACAAAATCCTTTTAATACCCTGAAACATCAAGAGAGACTCATGTTATTCTTCTTGTCACAAGAACAAGGAGGTGTTGTATTTGTGTTCTTTCCAACCACAGTGCAAATAGACAACTAGTACCCATGCTGTCTTGTCATGGTCAAGCCTGAAATGGTTAACAATAACCCAGACCTGTAAGCCTAAATACCACAATAGCTTGTCCAAATTCCTTTGATCACATGACATGCAGCAAAATTGTGAGAACAGTAGCCAGTTACCCCTGATAAACATACTTGTGGAACCTATGCTAACTAGAAACACTATTAGGAAAATGAATGGATATTATCTTTTAATAAGAAAATGAGATCGTATTGGAGAAAAGAAATATAGTAAAAGTTCTTGTATTACCTTCTTTCTATAAGTTAATGATAATGACGGCATCTGTGAATGTAAAGGCCACTTAAACGTTTGTTGGATACCATTTCTAGTTCCTAGCCATGGTTGGAATATCATCTTGGAGCAATGTTCCTTACCCTCTATGGGGAGTGGATCAGGGGTGGGGTGGGGAAGAAGGTGGAGGAAGTGGGAGGAGGGAAGAGAGTGGGAACTGGGATTGGTATGTGAAATGAAAAAGCTAGTTTGTTTTCTCTTTAAAAAAAAAAAAAGAAAAGAAAAAGAAGCACTATCCCAAATTGGAGTTTTCCCCTGGAAATGCTGAATGGTTCATTAGTGGGAATGATCAATTCAAAGTCCTTGTCTGATATGGCAAGAAGAATTCTTGCACTCAGTCTTAGGTCCAGTGGATGCTAGATCCAAAGATACTGAAATATCCTTCTGAATTCTAATGCACACAATTGTTCTTTAATAAGGTAGAAAATATTGGTAGTGAAATGTTGGAAGACGGATGTACTAAATAAAATGTGTGAAAAGCTGGTAACTTGGTTTAGGGGAGTCTTGTCTTCTTTATCTGGTCATTTTCAAAGTAAAAATTCAATTCAACTTAAGGGAAATAAAAGCTAAGCAAAAGCAACATTGAATAACGGTGACAGAAACATTTACCCAGTGTTGTGAAATGAGCTCACCATTTACAACACTGCTCTTGAGTCTTAGGAAATATAAGGATCATTTCTGAAACAAAACCCTGTCATGGAACAAATAACTTTTATCTTACTATTTAAGTTTTTAGGAATTTAAAACTTTGTGTAATCTGGCATAAAAAGTATAAACTGAACACATAAATGAAATTTTAAATAAAAACAGTGTTAACTCTGAAAGAAATGAGTTCACAACTCTTATTTTACAGGTTAGAAGGATGCTACCTTTTTACAATGACTGGGAGAAATCATTACAAATCATTGTTTTATAATATAGTATTTTTCATGAATTCAGCAACTCTGTGATAAACTTATGTCCCAGCCAAATAAAGATGCTCAGATTTAAAAAACAAATAAATTTTAAAAGTACTAAAAATGTCCTGTCCAAAGAGATCATGTGTGCTTAATGTTTCATTTTTTTTCTTTTTTAAAAAGAAAAAAAAACTTTTTTCATTATACCTACCCAATCCAAGTTCCCACTCCCTCTCCTCCCATTCCTCACACTTCCCCCCCCACCTCCCATCTACTCCTCAGAGAGGGTAAGACACATTTAACCAGCTAATATATTATTAGAACCATTCAAGCGAGGCTGTGGCTTGGGGATTCTGCTCTGGCCAAACTCTCATGTTGAAATCCTAACCCTTGAGGTAAACCATTAGGGGTTGAGGCCATTGTTAATGCGATCAGACCATGAGGGCAGAAACTGGTGTTCCATGGAGCTGCTTCATCAGACTGGTTTGTCAAAGCCTGGTGAAAATGTATCACCTCTGAAACAGGCAGCAGCTCTTTGTCAGACTGTGAAATTGTTAGCAGTTGAGGCTTGGTCTCCCCACTTCTAGAACTAGTAAGTTTCTATTGATTACAAACTAATTACAAGTACACTAGGAGAGGCCTATGAAATTCAAATGCAATTGGACAGGATAAGGAAAGCCCCCTTCTTTCAAGTCAGGGGAAGGACTGTTTGAACTGCAGCAGAAGACTTGAGCCCCATGACCTGAGAAATCCTCACATAAAATGAACTGTTCTGGTACAGAAAAAAAAATGAGCCATATGTCTAGGCCCAGGCCCTGTGTATTTTCTATGGCTGGAGCCCTTTGGTGTTCTCAGCACATTCTCCACACAATCTGGAAACTTTGCACAAAAAAATGACACCCAAGGATGGGGGTCCATTCAGATAGCAAGCATGGGTGTTTCACTTGCTCACAGCCTGAGCACTGGGTGTCCAACTCCTGTTGCTTCAAGGTACACAACTCTTCTTCTGCGCCTCTCAGGACTAATTTGTCACCAAGGCAAACTTACAGGTTGAGAAAATGTCACAAACATTTTCATATCAGTTAAAAGTAAACATTGGAATCACTGGAATGGATCCATGATCTACCGTCCTCTTCACGAGAACTGTAAACAGTGTGTAAAGCCTCCCCAGCACTTTCAAACCACTGGCCAAGTCCCCAGACATCTCCCTTCTATGTTGCTCCCATGGAATTTTTGTTCTACTTGTGTTTTAGAAATTGAGGTCTTTGGAGCTTCCTGTTCATTTGCACTTTGGAGAGTACATGAGTGTGTGTGTGTGTGCACATGCAAGTGCACACACTCACACAGAACTCTTACTTGCTACAGCACTAATCTGGAACTAGGAGTCTGTCGAGCAGAAAGAACTGAAGGCAAAGCCTTGGTCTTAGAGAATGATCTGTCTTACTTCAGAGATGTAACTTATTAAAATCTTCACTGGCTCTGAATTTGCTAATCTCCAAAAACAAAGCATATGCTATGCCTTAAGTATTCTCAAGATACTAAAAACAAAATAAAGCATTAAACTTTAAGTATATCCAGGTGCACATGCATTTTTATAGTAAATAATATAATGTGAAATGGTAAATTCCCAAATTAAAGAACTTTCAGACTTGCATGCTATCTTTGGATTTGGGCATGCTCAGTTGCTTGAAAAAAAAACCTGAAAACAGAAACCATATAATACATTTTGTTATTGAAAAAGTTTCCACTCACATCTGAATTAAATCTCAACTGGCAAATGTTGCATGAGATGATTTGCTTTCTCCGATGAGGAAGAGGAACCCCGAATGTATGGTTTATTACAGCTTTCTGAATAGGGTCCATCTGTAAAGAGAGAGAAAACAACACACACAACAGAGAGAAATAAAGGCTGTCAGTGTCACTGAATGTTGCTTGTTTCATTAAATCTTCACAGCTCCTGTCTACTGCTTAGGTTGTAAAGAATGATTTTAGGCTAAGAAAAGGCATTTCTACTCTCTCAGAAAATAGATAACAATAAGCCCAAAGCATGGTGTGATAAGAAGATGAAAAATATCCCCATTAGTGTCTGCACATTAAGTGCTTTTCTCATTTAGAAGCAACAATTGCCACCGTTTGATAATATTCATGTATAATTAAAGGTTTGTGGAAACTCAAGCTCTTACTAGTTTGTGCCGTCTAACATTGAAATGTGTTTATATCATTGTCAAAATCTGAACTTCAAACAGCATAGTCAAGCACGAATATTAATTATGCACCATTTTCCAATGCTAGTCTATGTTTTGTATCATACAGACCCAAAAAGTACACTTCTGCAAATCTAGCAGGAAAGGACACACAGAACTAAACATTAGCTCACTTGGCAACCTATTTTTGATGACCACAGACAAGCTACATTTCAATCTTCTATGGACTTACATGGGTGGACACAAAGATTCTTGGCAAAATTTCGGTTATCTCCATTCCAGTTCAGAACAGGGTGAGAAACTTCAAGCTCACTGTCACCCGTCTAACCCTGTTAAATGTAGTAATATTCCTTTATGAGGCACTGTTCCAGGGGCCATGTGTCAATGTCCCACCAATTAGTGTAAGTCAATCTTTGGTCTGCACTGTCATCATTGGATGAGTCACTCGTGTCCAACTTCTAAAGTTGGGATGAGGTTTAACTGTGATGACATATAAAAATTACTTAACCTCATTTTGTGTGCACTAAGAAACCGATAAGTATAAATAGCTACATTATGGAGTGTGTGAAAGGGGAAAGTTAACATGAACCTCATACTTTGTTCAACATTGTTGGCATCATTATATGGTTATTTAATGTTATTATTAAGTGTTATGTTATAATATTATGTACATGTACACACAGATATCCATATATCCATAATGTTATTGAATATTCCCATACTCAGAAATTCTTTTCTTCTTTGCTGTTATTATTTCTTTTTGTCTCACTGTATAACCCAGGTGGGCCTTGAACTCAGTGTATCGCAGGTTGGTCTCAGACTCATCATCTTTTTGGATTAGCTACCTACAAGCTGGGATGATACATGTGCACTGCTACATTTGGTTGGAAATCCTGAACCCATTTTCAGAGATCTTACTAAAGACTTCATGAGATAGCTTGAAAATGACCTGGCATAGTACGAAGGAAGAATTTGTCTAAGGAATGATGCCTAATGTCCAGTGTGTTACATATTACAATTCTCTACTTTTCCTGTTCAGAACTTTGGTAAATTTTAAATGGTTGGAACCAGTTAGCTGGCCCTATCCATCTGCTGGTAGGTAAGAGAAAGCTCCAGGTTTCTGACTCTTTCATTCTTCTATTGCAATTGCTGGTCTAATCTACCATTTGTAATGTACATTGCAAATAGTCCTCAGTGGTTATTAAATATCTTCCAGTTGTGGCCCCTCAACTTGGTTCTTACTCAACAGTTATAGCAATCAAAAAAACTCATGGGCATATCAAATTTGTCTTCTTCCATCCCTAATTTGCTAATTTCAGTGGGAAATGGGGTGTACACTGGTAATGGGCAGGACTCTGAAGACTGGGGCAGAAGGATAAAAGCTTTGAAGTCAGTCAGTGCTGCTGCATAGTGAAACCGTGTCTCAAAGGAACAAACAAAACAAGTCATATGACATATCCTTCCCCCAGATTCTGGGGTTAACTTTGCGGGATGTGGTTAGCTCATTCCCGGCTGTCCAGACCATGAAATAATCACTATATTATTTGCAATACTGTTTAGCCAATAGCTTAACTGTCTTGCTAGCTAGCTCTTATATCCTAAACTAACACCACTCCATTAATCTGTGTATTACCACAAGGTTATGGCCTACAGGCAAAGCTTTAGTGAGCTCCAGGGGAGGCATCTCTCTCCTATGGTGGCTACATGACTTCTTCCTTACTCTGTCTACTCTCTCTCTCTCTCTCTCTCTCTCTCTCTCTCTCTATATATATATATATATATATATATATGTGTGTGTGTGTGTGTATATGTATATGTATATGTATATGTATATGTATATGTATATGTATATGTATGTATGTATTCCACACATATATATTCCATTCTGGTTATATTCTGTTAAACTATTGGCCAAAGCAACTTTTTTATTAACCAATAAAAGAAACGCAGATATAGACAACACCAGGGTAACCTAGGCTGTTCCAATGAATTTTATTTTATTTTGTTTGTTTGTTTGTTTGTTTGTTTCACTTTTTTTGAGGCAGGGTTTCTCTGTAGCTTTGAAGCCTGTGCTGAAACTCACTCTGTAGACCAGGCTGGCCTCGAACTCACAGCAATCTGCCTGTCTCTGCCTCCCCAGTGTTGGGATTAAAGGCATGTGCCACTGCTGTCTGACTTGTTCTAGTGATTTTTATGTTCACTTCTAAGTATTAATGAGTTACAAGGTCCCCTCCTCCCACTTACTGTTCAGTTTTATCATGCTGTTTTTTAAAATCCGTTCTTAGGCATTATCTGCATATAATAAGTCACCAATGTTAAATGTGAGGCCCAGAAACAACAGGTCTACTTTCTGTCACTTTATTTTAATTCTTTGTGGTACACAGGATAGAGAGGCTTGTGCATGCCAAGAAAGTGTTCCTGTCCCCAAAGTTTTATCATTTCCCTAAGTTCATGTAAACGGTATTACAGAACGTGAGGTCATGGAGTGTAATGATCTTACAGTTGATCATGCTGTCACATACATGCACAGCCTCATCCGTTTTATAACTGAGCAGTATCCCTTCAAGTGGCTACATCACAATGTATTTTTGCACTTAACTATAGGCATGCATTTGCGCATTTGCATGGTTTGCAGCACAGTCTTCATTATTCTTCAGGCTTAACAATTTAAAATTATTCCTAAAGTCAATTCAGTTCCTCTAAAGATGGAAAATTAATCAAAAAGGATATGCCCTTTCCTTCACTTGGGCCCGCTACAGGAGAGTGGTGAGAAAGGTGAGGGGTCCGGTGTAGAATTCTTCTCCATTTGTACTGCTGTGTTTTACATCCCAGCCAAGCTTTTATAACCCCCTCAAGCCCTCCTCACCCCTGTTTCCACAGAAACAAAAATAACAGTGAACCAAGCATGAAACCTTGGAGGCCACAAACATCTCATTCTGCTTCCTGGGGTTAGCCTCCCTCTTTAACATGCCAGCCCACACTTGTACAGCACACATACAGAATGATTCTCCCTGCGCCCTTCCGGTGAAAAGTAGAAGAAGGTTACTAATTCAGAGAACTTAATCCTACTGAGCTCTGTTGTTAAGTATTCATTGCACAAAAAGGACCTAGTTCTCTCAGGGCAGAAAATGAATTCTTCCCATGACCCATTAAGCCTTAATGATCAATGATTAAGGGATATTACAGTTCTCCTGTAATGGTATTTTAAGACATAAACTCCCCTCATATTTGTATCAAATATTTGCTCTGTAAAAATACAGAACTGGTTTTTATCTTCTAATGGTGAGCATGACATTATTTCAAATTTCAGTCTTTCTATAATACTGGAGAAGCAGTGTCTACTGCGCTGAACACCTCAACTTTTGTGGAAGGTATTCCAGATCATCTGGATTCTGCATGCAAAATGTGACATGTTGCAAAATTCTTTTGCTTGGATTGAGTCATGGCCTGATCACTATGATTATGAAATCATATTTAAAGATGCAAAGTGGCATATTCTTCAGCAATTATTTTATTTCCCTATATACTTGAGGGAAGAAGACTTAACTGAATTATATCTTATATATATCTTGTATAATTATATCTTATATAATGGATGTTTCAAAGTACAACTGACATCATCAAGAATCCTTGTGAATTCAGGAATCTAGTCAAATAAATTTACTAAAATGTAACACTTTTAACAGTAAAAATTAATAATAATGTCTTATACAATGAATCAATATGAAGGATTATGTTTGAATAATAACTAATTCTACTACTAAATGTTAACTGGGTGACATATGACATGACATAAAGCCAGAACCTATTGGAACAAACTGGGGACTCACACACAGCCAGTTAGTTTATCCATTTTACTAAAGTTATAAGTATTTAGCATGTTTGCCTACAAAGACAGTTATATATATGTTCATCCCATAAATCAGAGGATCTACAGAGTGAAGAACAAAGGCAGCTATCATGTGCAAGAAACATAAAAAGAGGGGTTCTTAGGTCAATATCCTTAGAAAAATCAGAATACCAACACAGACATTGATACTACACAATTAGAAATTAACATCTCAGAGGCAGCTACAATAGTGTATTCAAAGGATTCTACAGGAGCATAAACACAGCTTTGCCCTTTTGCTTTTAAATTTGTCATTTTCGAATGCAAACAGCAGTGTGACAAGAGAAATTTATTTGAAAATCTGAAAGAAATATTAAGTTTTCCATGTAAATAAAGGACATGGAACAAACACTATAAAACAGAGAACCTCATGCATGGAGCCTTGAGACATATCCAAATGATACCACATGACACTCAGAAAGAGATGACTTTTTAAAAAATCAACATGGTAAACAGTGGCACATCTGTCCGGTTTCTGAGTAGGGATATTTTAAAGGGAAGAATTTCAAAATTCATTAACTTGGTCCCAAACACAAATGAAAGACAAGAACAACACTCTACCTATTGCTATGCTTGCCTCATCTCTAGACTAACACTGCATTTCGAGCTCAGTCTATGGCCTTATTTAAAGTCAAATGAACATGCTTTTCTTCATTTCAGACTAAAGGCCCCTTGTATTTCTATCCTAGTCCCAGGTTCTCAATGCTTCCCCTCTGGGTTTTGTGTTAAATTGATTTATAAGTGAGCATGCCCCAGGGGCTACAACTCCA